ATAACCCTTATCGAGTGGCTTGATATGCTTGAAATCAAACATGTTTCTTTCAACAAATGTACGCTTGATCTTTTCATTCGTCCAGTTGATGAACAACCGGTAATACTGGAATATAAGATCAATTACAACCAACCAAAGGCATATTTCGCGATACTTGTACGGGCGGAGACACAAGTCGTTGTGCATTCTTCAATGGTGCACCTTTCTTTCTAACGTCGCAGAGAGGAGCAGAGCGCCAAGGACGAAAAGGTGGTTAAGACTCTCCGCCCAATTATTATCGCGGAATGTGTAAAATAAATTATGACTGTTCATGGGGAACAGTCCTATTCTCTACGGATGATGAGGCGCTATAGGGAAGGATGGTTCGGCGCTGACACGGCCTGTTTACTTTTTTTTATTCCCTTAGCAGGCAACAAGACAGTATCGTATCGCTCGTATCAGTCTGTCCCACCGATTGCTGTTGTTTCTGGCGGCGGGCCAAACCTAGCCTCACTGGTATACAACATCAACCGCAGCGAATAAAGCTATAACTAAATCCAAACATACCTGATTTGCTCGTTCTGCTAACCTTGAGAGAAATATATAGGTATTTTCAGGTCCATTCGTTCCCAATACGACTCAAGAAGGATACACATTTCTTGAGCTCGGCCTAACGCGAAAACGGGAATCAGAACCTTAACCATACGTGCATCTAATAAACACACACTCCATACCATGGGGACAGATGTGGACAGAGAGGGCGTGGCTACGTACCATATTTGAAGCTGTCAGCGAATTCGCTTCTGATGGAATACAGCCAATTGGGGAAGTTGCAACCATTTTCGTCCAGCAGAGACAGGGTGACATCTGTCTGACATGGGGAAAAACCCACGAAAGACGCATCCTACACCACGTTCAAAGAAGTGCACAACCACGCCCTTTCCATCTATGGGATATGGAGTTTACATATGTACGGTCACATGAAAACGAGGAAAAATGCTGAGAACTTTGAATTTTATACCTTTCCACCTGCCATTACTCTGTCGTGAACTTTTCTCAAGAAGTCCCTTTCTCGTGCTCGCTTCGAATCTCGGATTGTTGTCGCATAAGTGGACTCAGAGATCAGGCAGTCAGGTCGAAGGCCTGGCAGCACTCGAGCTGCACCCAAATGTCGATCGGGTGTCATATTATAATCACCTGCAAGCAATAAAAAATATTTTCCATGGCAAATTTCCAACGTGCCAACGCAAACACCTGTGTAAAGTATGCTTTGATGGCCAACACGGATTTCAAACATGGCTGCGCCAAGCACATGGCCAGCGTAGAATGCACGAATGGAAAGTTCGTTGTCGACTTGGACGGTCTCATGAAGATCCACTGCTATTACCTGAAACGACGGAACTCATAAGCAGCACTTGTGATGAGCTTTTGATGACGTTGCAAAAGTTCTCTTACAATAGGAACTAGCGGCTACTGCAGCTGGTGGTTGAAGGACGAAGCAAAACTAAGAAGCGGTGCTTCTGGTCGTCTCCATTTTGCCAATACTGATCCTGAGGGAAGGAAGGGAACTACTACCTCCTCGTTACGGCGCAGATTATTCGCCACAACGAACTTTTACTGGGTTCACTAGCTCTATATACTCTCAGGGATACCGAGGGTATTTCCTACAGAAGGAAAAGGAAAAAAGTTCAGACAATATAGAGAGCTGACCTTCTTCATACATGCTTTGATGTTAGCCGAAGTGAAGAAACTTGTATCCCCACGAAATTCGGTTTGTACTTTCCGGTAATCTTCCTGACGAAAAATTAATATAATAACAAATAAAAGGACTAAATATTGGGAAAAGAGGGATCAATGCATATGGAGGATCAATGTCGCGCAGTTGTCTGCAATCTATTATATCCATAACTCACCAAAAGCACTGGTGCGATAGCTTTTGTCGGATAGGTCATATAGATAGGACCATCGAATCCAACGATTTCACTCATATGAGGTAGCGATCCACAGTGATCGAGATGAAAGTGAGATATAATCACACAAGTCAAATAATCATTCAGCTTTCCTCCTCCACCGATATATCTGAAAAAAGCTCTAATGAAGCAAAACATACAAAAGAAATAAGCCCATAACCCACGAGAAATCAGGGAAACGTCGTTCATCCTGGTAGCCCATATGCATGCCACAATCAAGCATCACGTTCTTTCCCGCCGATAGTCACCAGGATGCATGATCGGCCAACGTCCTGCCCAGCCCCAAGTGGGACAATCTGAATGAGCTTGTCTCTCATAGTGTACAAATGTGGGACATATCCACGATGTGAGATCAATACTCAACGCTGTTCGGGGAGGTGGGAGGGAAAAGGGAAGGGTTGGAGTACATTTAGCACTTTCGCTTGCTTGTTTTTGTTAGTTCCTGCTAATCTGTAAAGTCTTGTGAAGCTATGGTACAAGTCAACCGCTTTGGTTTCTTACAAGGTGGCGTGTACGAGCTTCACTAAATGAAACTTTGTACCTTCCCAAAGCCGAATAGCGCCCAAAACTTGAGGAACAGTAAAAAGCGGAAATATTTCGAACAATCGTTGCTTACCTTTATGTCCGTCATGTTTCACACGATCGCTGCATTGATGACTTCACCTCATGAATTCGATGAAATTTGGATGATCTGTGGATATCACGCTTTCGGATCAGCGAACAATATCACGCCAATCTAAGCTGCTCGCAATGATTATCTTGTTATTTCCTGAAGATGATCAAGCAGAAAATGAATGCAACAGGATACATAGTCGTGTTCGCTGCGGATGATGGGGCGTGGCCGCTGTGATGGTTTGTGGCGCGGCGCCAAACCCGTTTCTCACCACTTGTTGAACCGAGCAAGTGACAACACTGAATCGTGCCCTTCGAATCAGTCGTTTTCCTACGGCTGTTTTCGCTTACCCGTTTCAGAAACTGGTGGAAAACGGATATGGCACTGCGACTAGACTTAGCTGCACTGACACGCCCCATCATCCACAGCGAACACGACTGCATAATGAGGATAAACCCATAAAGGCAACTTCAGGTACTAAACCACATGAGCAAAAGGCAAAGAGGTGAAAGCGAATCTTTATTGTACGTGATTATTATGGGTACAGAGATCATAGAGCTATGAAACACCGCAGCAAGGGTTATGTCGAAAGAAAACATAAAAAGGTGTAAATGTGTTGAAGAGAGTAAGTGGGAGCTAAAATACATGTGAGGTAGAGCAAGTGAAGATCGAACAACATTAATCTTGCTTATGGGTGTTAATGTATCAATGTTACTCAGTCTTCTTCTTTCGAGCGTCAATCTCATCTCTTCTTCGGATACCTGGGGCCATTTGAAGATCGAGAATCTTCTTGTACTCTGCACGACCCAATAACGAATAAGCAGTGCCGAGAAGTCGGTGGGCAACTTTATCGAACTGTTCATGGTTTGCAAGGAACAGCCACTGACCCAATTCCAATCCCATTCCGAAATCGCATTCATCAGTGGCAATCTGAACAGATTCTGTCGAGTTTGAAGGAAATTTTTGGAAAACGGTTTGAGAACGATGTGAGGATGAATTTGTTGTTACACTGCCGCTTCCGCGACAGTCCATGCCTACTGATTTTCGGGCCTCTCCTCCCATTCCTGAACGTCCTTCACGTTTTAATTACGTAACCGTGCCATATTACCCACAATATAAAATTGATGGAAGGCTGTTTTGGATCACAGTAATGGAACGAATCAAACGATTCCTGAAAATCAGACATAGTAGCTCAATCTCAGTTCCAGATAAAGAGATTATCCAACAAAAACCAATGATGCGATACCCCGAGAAATCTGACATTGGAAACAAACCACGAGAGAGAATTCTTGTTTCCCGGTTACGGGGCACTTGTCAACCAGACGTGCCCTCTCTGCGGTCCAGGGGTATTTTCGCGAGGCATCTACCAGTCCAGTAGTTGAAGGGAGAAGGTAGGAGGGATCAGAGAAGGAAGGAAGGAAAAGAAGGAGGAGGAAGAAAAAAGGAAAGAGAGGAGAGGCTTCCCGGTTGACAAGTGCCCTGAGACGCTTGTTTCCCAAGAGGATTTCGCAACAGTGTATGGAAACTCACAATGTGTGAATCAGAGTGGCTGTGAACGAATAATTGCACTATTTGACTTATGCGAGCATTATTCGCGCTGCAGAGTTTTCATTTCAAACAGGGTAAAAACAGAAGTGAACGATCTCAACGAAACGAGACGAAGAGGTCAGCTCTTCGAGTCATGATGACAAGATAAGCACAATGCGACTGATACAGAACACTAGAAGACATCGTTTGACGTACCTGAGCGAAAGTAACTAGTTCCATTAGCCACTGCATCTTGGATGGTCGCAGCGATTGATCAAGATCTGCGCTACAAAGCAGTTCCAACGTTTTCTTGATTTTCCCTGAAACTGCCGCTCAGAAGAGATGGCTTTATAACAGGAAAAAGCTCACTTTTCACTGGCCCACCCTCCGAAAACCGAGTCACATTTGGCCGAAATGTTTTTCGTGGGGCAGATTTGGCCAAAAGCCTGTCTCTGGGGGTGGTATGACGCTTGAACGCAAATATTGTGCGCACGTTTGGACCCATAACGCTTCCAGGTCGCACCGCAGGCATGGTGCTTCCAACTCATGTACTAGGCGTTCTCGCGCCAAGACGACGCGATATCCGCATATGGGGCTCAGACCACCCTGTAGGACAAGTATCTAGCAAATTTGGTATGAAGTGTTTGGCAGCTGGCTCAGGTACCGTAGCTTTGAGCGGAGCTGCTAAAATATTCCTGTTTATCCGGGTAAATCACTAACGAAACTCTATATTAGTCTACTAAGGGGCATTTTGATCAAATCTGGCTCGAGCTTTGGAGAGGTACAAAAAACTTTTGCTTTTCACACAAGTAGAAAAATATGTTACAATTACCTGGATCCTCAGAAATAGGACGATATCCAACATCGTTAACCACTTCCACCCACAGACCAGCACCACTCGGGGCTTTCCCTAACTAAAAAGGTGCTCTAACTCTGCGATACAAGTTTCCTTAATAGCTGCACGGTCCATAAAAAACCAGTAAGCCTTTAGCCCACAAAGAGATAGAATAAAATATCCACCCAAAAGCGTACCTTCTTTTTGTTACGTTGGGAGCAAACAGTTTTCATTTGTTGCCTCAGCGTCCCTGCATCTGTGGATTTTGGAAGGAATGGTTCAACGGCTGCTTTCGCTTTACCAGCAAGATGTACGATTGCATGTTCCATACAATTTCCCACAACCTCAACAATACAAATACGTGGGAAGTTGAGGCACTTAAAATGTTATAACGTCCGCGAAACTACCTCGATCTTGGGGAATCTGTCCTCATTTGGCACGTAAACAATCAAGCAGTCCTCACTGTTTGGAATGTCTCTGAAAAAAGACCTTTCAAAAAATGGCCTCTACAGTCAATACATCACCGCTCTTAACGAAGAGGGCATAAAAGTGAGTTCAAAGCTTTTCAATAAGTTCTCAT